AGACCGCGCCGTTTGGTTTCCTTGTGGTGGTTCTCCACATGGCCGCAATAAGCCACGAAAGGGTTCAGCTGCTGTCCGCGGCTGTTTCACTTTTTGCTGCTGAAAGCCCCTGTGGTTTGTGCCCTGAAACCGGGTGAATCGGGCTTCTTTGTTTGATGAAGTAGCTGCAGTCTCCGGTTTATGAGAACCTGTTCCAGATGAAGAGACCATTTTGCCAGTGGGAAAAGCCACCACCTCGGCAGTCTCCCCCATTGCTATCAGACACTCTCTTTGTTTGTGTGCTGTCTTGGAAGTGTGAATGAGAAGAGGACAGGGCCTCTTTTTTGTTGGATAACTATATCTATATCTATAATATATTATAATTATAAGTATATGAGAATCCGACAAAATCAGGGGAGATTAAAGCAGTTACAGGGATAGGACAGCTGCATGAAACGTGCGCAACTGAGGAGGGTCCGACCAATCTGCCGTGCCCTTTGCTTAACCCACAAAGCAGGTTTATTCAGCTGAAAGGGGTGATATTTGACACCAAATGGGGGGGATATTGGACGGCTTGCTCAACGACTGAAGGGAGAACCCTCCACGATGGATCTTGGAGGATTGATTGAACCCTGCAACTGCGGGTTGGTCAGGGTGCACTGGTCATTGTGGCGTTGACAGGTGCCAATCAAGCGCTGATGGATGGCTACAGGGCCGGAACAGCCAGCGAGGACACCCAGTTGTGCAAGATTTTTGCCATCAACTGCACCCAACCCCTAAAAGAGGACATTCAGGTAGATCTATACCATTTGTTCCGCTGGTGGTCATTTCTCTTGAATTCTTTTGATTTATTCACTCAACTCGAGCTGCTTCGGTGTCAGTGTGGGGTCGGTCGAAACTGTCCCAGGTGTGCCACATGCTTACTTTGCTCATCCGGGAAAAGGGCTGGTCCGTCACCGACTCTCGAAATCGGCAGTGGATGTCATGGTCCTTTTGGAAGACGATTTTGCATCTTTGCGTGGTTGCTTCGCACCGATGCCATAGTGATTCTCGTAGGGGCTGCTTATGCATCTCATTCGGGTTACTGTTGTCCTGACAGGACTGCCTACTTTGAAGCTATAGGCAAAGAATGGCGTGCCCTGCAAGGTACTGCATCCTCTTGCCCTTCATGTCTTCATGAGTGACATGAACTTACCCTCGTTGTTTGCTGCGAGGGGTGGCCAATCAATTGATCTCATGTCTGCTCCTGTCAATGGCACATTTGCTTCGGAGTTTCTGGGTTCCATGGTGCTTCTGAACAGCTTGGGAGCGCCTCCCTTGCCTACTCCTGAACAGCATAGCAATACCCTTGACTTGGGGCTAGCAAATCGTGTTTTGCGGTTGCTCAGTGGTCAGTGTTTTTGGTGACAACTTTGCCATCTTTGCCTCTTACCCCTGTGGAGCCGCTCTTGGAATGAAGCGTGCTTGTTTCCAGAACTTTGACCCGCGCGAGCTGGCTGCACAAGTTGAGCCCCATTTGTTGTCGTGGCACAGGTGGCTTGAGATTCAGACTCGTTTGGCCTCAGACGAGCTTAAGTTGCGTGATGTCCTTGAAGTTGGTTCCTGCTTGTTTGGCAATGTGATCCTGGGCGTCGTGTTTCGAAGCAGTTCTCCCTTTTGAGGTTTCGCTCAGTGCGCGCACAGACCATTCGGGGCAAGTTGCCCTCTAACATTCGTGAGGCGATTCGAGGCATATCACTGTGCCAAGAAAGCAGTTCGTAAGCTTTTGGCACAGCACCTGCGCAAAAGGGCTGCTGGCATGACTCGCTTGTCTCTTTTCAGCCGGGAAGGCTTGCCCGCTGAGGAAACTACTGTAAGGCTTTCTCCGCTTCAATGAGGAAAGTTGGTGGAGAAGTGTTTGACCAGTTGGAACTACTTTTTCGGCACCTAGTGCTAAGCCACCTGCGTGCCACTTCACTCTTTCGGCCTAGGCCGCCCGACCTTTTCGTTTGAGCACCCTCATGTACCTCTTCACTAGAACCATGGTTGAGAACTTCGGGATTGGCCTCAGCTCGCTTGAAAATCATGTTGGCAGTTCACAAGATGTGGGTTCTACAACGATAGTGGGGGCGAAGCTTGTCACAACCTCGAGATGCAACCTAGTTTCATTGTTTTCCACTCAAGGGTGTATTTTGGTGCATTGGTCAGCTAGTTGCTTCGCTTTGGAACGCAGCGAGGACATGGCTGCGGGTCATCACCCAAAAATTGTGCATGAAAAGCGTAAATTTATTCCACTCTTCTTGCTGGAACAAATCCAGTGCTGTGAGCTCGCAGGAGGCGACTTTGGCCTCTGGCTTTGTGCCAGGCGCTTTGGGGTGAGCAAACAGACAGCACGGTGCTCGATGTCTGCTTTGACGTATGTGGGGTGAAAAAATGGCAAGATTCTACATCTGGCGTGCTCTTTGCAAGTAAAATCTTCTGTATATTCTTCCTTCAGCTTGTTTGGAGTGACTCAGTGGCCAATTCCCAGTCCAGCGCCGAACCTGCAGTGCCGAGCGAGGTTCCGCGGTCTATGACTGGACGCGAGTCACTTGCGATGGGGCTGTGCTGGCGCCGGGCAAGGCAGTGGCGATGGGTTGGAGAACACGACTTGGAACTCCGCGCTGTCATTGATGTAGAATGGGAAGGCATTACATTGGTTTCAGAGTAGATGGCACTGGCACCCCAAGATGTCTTTTAGATGGGGTCCTTTTTAAACACCTTTTGGGGATTGTGCCATCTAGTCTGAAGCCACTATAATAGTACTGTAAATTTGAAGGAGACGGAGTTGTTCAGCGGGCCATGTGATCTCATTTGATGTTCATGTCAGAGTGTATTGAGTGTATTCAACTTTAGACAGCCAACCATTTGAACCACTCCTCACTGTTATGACCATGAGGCTGTCTCCGTAAATGGCCCTGCTTAGCTGAAAGGCAAGACATGCCCCCAGTCTTGCGCCGAGCTCTCCGAACGCGCGGAGCGTCTCGGGCGGCGGAGGCGGCGTCGGAGCCGTGGGCGGCGGTGCCCACGGGCAGCGCCCTGAAGAGGCGCCGCCTTCCCCCAGAAATCCCACGCGTGGGTGTCATAGCTTTCGCCATGGTGGAAACCGTTGACCGAGGTTGACCGAAAAGCACCGGGAGATCAACACACCTGGACCCTATAGTTTGTACCCTGGAAAATAGGACCATGAATCTGCAGGGCCTACGACTGTACCCAGTTTTCTTTCAGTACTTTTCTAATCAGGTACTTTCCAGTCCGACAGAACCTCCCAGTCAGACTTTGGCTGTATGTCCCCTTTGCTTCGCAGAAGCCTGGAGGAGTCACCCAAACTGGGCCTGCGGGGGGGGCGGAGACGGGCGGCGTGGAGACCGCCACGATGGTCCGGACGCTCTGTACCGCAGCACTGGCAGGTGGGATCCATTGCAGGGCCTCAGCTGTGAGGCCGGGTGAGCTCGAGGTTTACATTTATGGGCCCCCAAAAAAGCCAGAAGTGGATGGAATAGAAGTTCAGGGAGTCCAATTGAAGCTCAAACCTTTTTGCAACAAACAGTTTCTTGATCCATCGCACGCCGTGGTGGAACCCCCCTTCCATCCTCTTCCTTTTTCTTCTGTGGACTCTTAGACACTTCAGGACTTCATCTCGCAGTACATTCACTACGCCCTGCAGGCGGGCTGCGACCCCTACGCCCGGCGCCACTGCTCCGGCTCATCGGGCCTCGTCGTCCCCTGGCAGGACCGAGTGCGACATTTGCCCGAGCTCTCGGGGGAGGAGCGGGTGGAACACGGCACGGGCTAGCCGGTGGTGCCGGCAATGGCGGGGTTGTTGGGGGGTTGTTGGGGGGTTGACGCTTTCTGGGGTGAGATGAGGAAAATAAATGGGAATGACTTAAGCTGAGATGAGAGATGTGAGTGTTGTGTTCTTGGGAAGTACAGACCCTGGCGAGTACAACTACTTGAAAAGATCGACAGAGGTCTTTGTAGACTTTCTCAATGTTGCAGGTGCTCCAGAGGAGGTTGGTGGTGATTGAACGAATCAGATGAATATTTTGGATGATTTTGGCAATCGAGTGCGGTCATCGAGCTGGAACATGGGGGTTCATGACAGTGTAACCTATGTTCTTTCCAAGCTAAAGAGCCCACGCAGTCGGGTCATGTCGGGAAGATGCTTGGCACGATGCTAGGCACACACGCTTGGGAATCACACTTGCTTCAATATTGGTTGGGCTTTCTCCAGTTCCAATCCTCAACTCCCAAGATCATCGAGGAAAGCAAAGCAGAGACAAATTGTCCCAGATGATCATGTTCACAGGACCACACCCACCCTACTGTTCATGGAAGAAATTGGAACCTCTTTCATGGCAAAATTACACCCTCTCCATCATACCCAGTGTCCCTCCATCTATCTTGCTGGAGGAGCTGGGCTGCTTGGGTGCGCACCACTTCGGGGACCAAGCAACTGAGCTTGCACGGCTTCTGGAGAAGAACCGCGCGGCCGCGCAGGTGCTCGAGCGGCCTGGTCCGTCTCGTGAACGAGCGGCCTCCGAGCTGCTAGGGGCTCTAGGAGGTGGACTTGATCCACCTCCAAGAGCCACCCGAGCGGCGCTCACCCCACGACACCAGTGGTCCACCCCCGCGGGACTCACCCGAGCGGGCTGACCTACCCCGGAATCCGGGCGCGGAACGAGCGGACTGACGTGCGAAGAACTCAGAAATGGAGTCCTCATAGAGGACGCAGACTGTGTTGCAGGCACCAGAAATGGAGTCCTCCTGCAGTGCTACTTCACGGCCAGCAGTGAGCCTGCAGACCGCCGAGGTTGGAAAGGAAAGTGGATCGAAAGCGAGGTATGCCGATGGACAAAACTACATTACATAATTACATACTACGCTTTTATATATTTAATCCAAGATTTGTCAAGTGGGATATCGCTCCTGGATATCGGATAGTCCAAGATGGTACAGGATCATTCTTCTTCAATTCACTCGGGTGCAAGTTTCTGAATCCGCAGTTCCAAGTCATCTCTAAGACTGTAGGCACTGTGGCAGCAATGGAATTCTCCTGGTCGTCATGGCCCTGGGGTAGGGTGAGGCAATGTTTCACACGGACGCAACGGGTGTAGAGTGACCCGCATGGCGCAGCTCCGAATCCCAAACGGCTGGTGCCATCTACTTCCATATTCCATGCTAAGCATGACTCTGCATTTGGGTGACATTCATGGTGAAGTCTGTGTCAACCCATTGTTAGGGGTGTGTCCAGCGTGTCCCATTGCCAGTGATAGCTGGCAAGATATTTTCACTATTTTAGGGAAAGGTCTTCCATGGTTACAGGTTGTGGGATTGATTTGCTCAACCCATTCCGTACATCCCTTTCGACCCCTGAGCTTGCTTGCTTGCTTGCTTGCTTGCTTGCTTGCTTGCTTGCTTGCT